CCCCACAAAACCCCAACCCAAGACAAAAAGAAACACCTTCTTCCAGCTCAAAGGCTACCTAAATTTCAAATGGATCAAATCACATGTAATGTGTTCAAAGAAACCAGTGAATGGCAAGAAAGAAAATCTCCGACAAAGATAAAATAGTAAACCTTGTTAATTGTGCTTGCAACATATTCACATATGCCAGCAGTTCTTGCTTCTCCTTTGCACTAGCAGCCTCTCTTTGTGCAGCTTCTTTTATTCTAGCCTCTGCATCAGCCTCTGTTACTCTGACCCTTTCTTCTGCCCGAACAGCTGCCCCTTCCAATATTACTGCCTGTTCTCTAGCTTTTGCAAGCTCGGAACGCCATAAATGTGCTTCTTGAATAGCCGAGTCTCTCTGCTTTATCAGTTGATCCATTTCCTTGCTCAGGGTCATAAACTTCTCTTCGAACTCCCTCAGCTATAAACATAACATTCAAGAACATGACTCAGAGAATAGAATGTACTAGCTGATAGCCAATGATATACATGTTAAAACAGCAGGTGCTGACATAGTATTAGTACCTTGGACTTTGAAGATTCCAATTGCTTTTCTGAATCTCCCTTTAAGCGCACAACCTCAGCACAAGCAATTTTCCGTTGCTCATTCATAGTTTGAGCTGCAGATGCTGCAGCCTCTGCGGCTTCAGCAGTTTCAGATAGTTTATCTGCTAACTCTTTTATTGTCGAGTCCCTTGCACGTACTTCCCTGGCCAGATTTTGCAACTCTTCATCCTTAACTCTCAGTGTCTCCTGCAGTATAATACAGTAAATTAAGCAATGCCTTCGTAAATCTGTTAATTCAGTTTGTTGTTCAATAATTGTGAATATGAATTATCCAAATCGTTTTTTTTTATAAGGTAAGATTTTATTAAAAAGTTGCCACGATGGTACAAATTACAAAAGACCATCAACTGCCGCCAACAAGGCAGCTACATTCCTCCTATCTCTTCTAGAAAATCCTTGTATTATCTGAATTGTTAAGACAGAACCGCTTCAAGAATTGAAACAGGATTTTTGCTTAGCATTCCACCAAGAGTCTCCAACTCGTCACTTTATTGAGTTTCAAGTCCTCTATATTTGAGATTGCAGGTTCACATAGAGTTTATAGCGCATGAAGAAGTCTCGATGTGAGCCAAAAACTAGGCAATAATGCAATCTTATCAAATCTCAGAAGAAGACCAAGTCTCTAAACATTCAATAATATGATGTCACAATCACAGAATGAGTAAGCCAACAAATTAGATGATTGTGGTGCATTCAAGCCCTAATCCAGTTCAGCGTAACCTTCAGTTGTCAATGCAATTATTTTAGCTTGTCGGTAACAAAAGGAAGATGAATGATTTTGGTATAAAAATGCCCACTGAGGCTATTGAATCCAAATTCCAATTTTATCCTACTTTCCAGTAAGTAATTTGAAAAGTCGAGTAGGCTGTTCTATAATACCCGTCAGGAAAAAGAAAATAAGTGGGCTGTAATTTGTTCAAACTTCATTTTCCGTCAGATCAGCCCCTTATTATCCCAATTGCTCAACACAACAAGTTCTCTCCACTACATAAGCAACTCCTCCCCTGCCCCTCCTCTCCCCAAAGTAAAAATTTAAGTGTACAAGAAAAGTGGTGAGAGAGTCTTGACTAGAGTTTCAACAAAACTCCTCACGACCCTGAGAGAAAGCACCAGGAAGACATCGCCCATTTCCGATCGGCTTAACAAACATGCAGGTGGCAGACAACTGCAGCAAGGTTCTATATGCAGCCTGAAGGTTTCAAAGCTGACCCCTAAACATAAGAAAGATGCAGAATCACATCCAAACCCTTGTAAAGTATGTTCTGCCTTGAAAACAGCTAATATGCACCCAGCTTTTCACCAAGACCCTAAACAGAACATCATCTATGACAACATAGCAGAAATTTAAGATTTGAAGGAGACTGTCATTTCCACGTTATTAACGCATGCGTTTCATTCTTTCCTCTGTTTGTACTTCTAAACTGACATTAATGATAAAAGGGAAAAAAGGGGAAATTGCACACTTCCTTACCTTCATTATTGTCAGGTCATCCATTGGACCATCAGGTGTCCTGTTCATCATTGCTCCTAAAGCAGTTCTCATTGCAATCTGCATTGCTGCTTCAACTTCCTTGGAAGCTTCAAGAGCAGTTGAATTAGCTGCGGCAACTACAGTGGCCACTGTTCCCAATTTTGTCGACCCATTTCCACTTAACGAGTTCACAGCCTCTTTGTGAGCCTTTAAGACAAGCTGTGTTGCACTGGTTGTACATATTGGAAGAGGAAAGAAAGGAACAATGAGAGTGAATGTTGACATATTAAGAATAACATCTCCCACATCTCGTAAAAAATCTTAGAGAACGCAGAAAAAAGGAGAAAATATGCCTTGTGAAATTTAATAACATCAAAGCTCTTCCATAGAAATCTTCAATGTGATTCAATATGCAGATCAGCAGATAAGTAATATCAAACAAAAAGACTGGCATATGTGAAATGGAATGCCTGGGGGAACACATCATTAAGTCAGTCTGTCTAGATAGATTTTTTTTTTCATTTCAACAAATGAGTATTTTCTTTTCATGATATAAAAAAGTATTTTTTTTTTATTTTAACAAAAAATTTACTTTCTTTTCATGATGTAGAAAAAGTATTTTCTTTCATTTCAATAAAATAATGTAATAAAAAGTATTTTCTTTCATTTCAACAAAAAAAGTATTTTCTTTCATGATGTATAAAATGTATTTTCTTTCATTTCAACAAAAAAAAAGTATTTTCTTTTCATGATTTAGAAAATGTATTTTTTTTCATTTCAATAAAATGAGTACTTTATTTTCATGTTGTAGAAAGAGTACTTTCTTTTTCAACCAAAAAAAGAGTATTTTCTTTTTAGTTATGGAACACAAATTTTAACGTTATTTTTGCGTAAAAAAATAAAGCAGCACATTAGTTGTTTTTGGTTTGTGTGATTTTTTAGAAGAATAATTAAATTCTCGAAAAAAATAGAGTCCTAAAAACGTTGGGTATTGGGGGGAGGGGGGAGCAAGGATACATGGGGACTTGGAGGAAGGGGGGGTGAGGAGAGTAGCATAGAAAAATATTTTCTACTCTCTAACCAAACACTAGAAAATATTTTCCAGAAAAAGTTTTTCACTCACCAACCAAACAAGGGAAAATAAGTGATAAAACCACTCATTTTCAATGAAAACATTTTCATGGAAAACATTTTCCTTCACAACAAACACACCCGTAGTCTCCAAAGCATTAAAGAAATGGAAGCATTGACAACTTACTGCAAGGTAGATACCCAAGCCTTAGCTGCACCGGGGGTTTCTGCACATAGGAAGTAGTCCTTCTTCTGTGGAGTGCCAATATCTGAGTACAGTTAAGAATCAAAGAAGCAACACAAAAAGTTTCCAAACGGATGCAACGACTTGGAATTTCCCATTTATATGCCGGGGGAAGGAGGGGGTTCCAGGCGATCGGAAAATAAAGAAATAGTTAATATATTCAAGATAATTACATATTTACAAAATACCGTCTCAATTCATCCTGGGGCCAGCAGGGAAAATAGGACAAGAATCTTAGGAAACAAAGTTGGATACAGAAACAGCAGCTATCATATTTTGGCAGTCCACTGAAACCGAGAGACAGGGAACAAGATTAGTCATCAGGAAGAGTGAAGGAATCTGGTCTTGAAAAAACAAACTTTTACTCATCCCAAAAATTATCTTATAAGCTTACTGGAAGTTTACAGGAGATAATGCTATTGTGCTATTGGCATCGAATAATATGGTACCCTTGATTGTTGGCTCATTCCTCCTGGCCCTAGAAACCAAATGAAAGAAAACTTGAACAAGGAAACTAACATTGGATAGAGAATTTGAAACTATAAGAAAATGTCTAGTCCAACAAAATCTACTTGTATTCCATTTTTCCAGTTGTTGGATCCAATATCACCCATCTCTCGTTCCACTTCCTCAGCTGTTCAACAAGCCCAAAAGGTTTTGTCAATTGGCAAATCAGGAAGTTTCAAAAACTTTCAACAAATGATTGAAACTAAATAATATAGAATGACAAATTCAATGTCCATCTAGTAGACAAAGAACCCATATATTAACGACTTCACCAACAAATGATCTTACTTTATTCGCAAGTCCAAGTTTGTTTCACAAGTTTTGGGAAAGAATTTGACTTCAACTTGAAATAATTATTTCAAATCGCAATAGTGATTTCAACTTCAAATAACTTGTTTCAACTCTACACACAAATCTTCAACTTTCAAGAAATCTTTTCCTTAAATAATTATAGCTATCCAAACACAGCTTCAACTTCAACTGCCACAAACTTAATTAGCAACTGGAACCTCAAATATATTGTTTCCAACTACAACTCAAATTGTGTCCAAACACATACTGGAAAGGCCTCATCAAGCAACAGATGAATAACGAGATAACAATGACTTGACTTAGTTATAGCTGAGCTGGATGCCGATTGCCGCATGATTTACATTATCTCCTCAGTAAGTGAAATGCAGTCTTCTGGATAGAGCTCTAGAGAATGCACTACCCAGTGAACAACTTTAGAAAACCAGCAAGGAAGCAGAAGCCAATACCTAACACCAAAACAGCATCTGAAAGTTTGACGTCGCCTATATTCAGCTAAATTTATATTTTAGCAAACATCTTCTAAAGGGGTAAGCAAAAAGCTTTTAGAACAACCTTAAGCATCCTATAAGATCCTACTTATATCGAACTCATAGTTTTCGCAGTGACTCGGATCTATGGTTTTGGTCGTAGAAAATCTGCCAAAAACCTAAACCAAACTGACCGTATCAATCGTGTAGAAAAATTTAATTAGTTTGCTACATAGATAACATCTCTAAAGAAGAAGAAAAATATGAGAACTTCCAGCAAAATTATTAGGTGCTAGGTGCTAATTAGAAGAAATGGATTCAGATCCCTCCAGTTTCAATTGTAGATGGAGCACGTAAACAACGGGTTCAACTGATCCCAGTATTTACACAGAGTACAGATACATATGTAAAAAATCACTAAAATTAAAAAATGTTACATTTTGAACCAATAATTTAAGTATGATGAGTTCAGTGATAAAATCTAACGGTTGAACCTATCAAATTAAAATTCTAGATCCACCTCTGTCCAGTTTTCCATTGCAGATTTTGATGTGCAACATGCAGAATAATTTATTTAGTTCTGCAGGTAGATAACACCTCAAAAGGAAAAAAATTATAAGAGAACTTTCAAAAAAATTATTAGGTGCTAGTTAAAAGTGATGGACCACGATCCCTCTAGTTTACCAACACAGGTTTTGATGTGCAACACGTACTGAAGCTAGAAGGGAAAAGATTTTGTTCCTTAAACTCAGCTTCTAACCTAAAGTTGAGGTCAATAAGACGTCAACTGGCAATATGTTCAGAAGTAGCATAAAATACGGAGCCACAAATAATGTTTTGATAAGGTATGGAGCCACCAAAAATGTTCAGAAGGACGCTGTTTGAAAGCTTCCTTCTGTTTTATGGACTTTTTTCCTTTTCTTCTTCCTTTTCTTTTTTTTTGGTTGAAAAGTTCTGTTATATGAGAGAATTGAATAAGTAAATCATGAGAACCACGTCTTTGGAAGATTCTTCATCCTATTTTTTGATAAAGAAGATTCTCTACTTTGCAATACAGCTTCTATGCAAAGGTATTCCCATTACAACAAACAATTATACTTTTTTTATTGTTATGCACCATGTAAACACTGAAATTTTAACAGATCAAGATAAACTTAAATTTAAGACACTACAAGACAACTCTTGAAATATTAGGAGTCTATTAGGGTTACTTGGTGGCTACTCCACCCAAACCCTAATTCATGCCTATAAATAAGGCTATATATGTACTTCAAAGACGATCTCGGCAATTCCATAAACTCCCGAAATGTGCATAAAGAGATCAAATATACGATCTCCGAAATTTCAGTAAAATCATGGAATATTCATTAAGAGATCAAAGGCATGTCAAATATGTTTTGCTTAAAGTTCTCGCAACATTCAAGATCCAAATGGAGTGTTGCTACATACTTCTTGATCATCAAATACATCAAGGAGATGCATATCATGCATCCTACGTTCGAGAAATATGCCACTTAAGCCCTCGAATTACGGATAAAAAATCGGAGAGAAGAATCAAGCAGTGTTTAAAAAAGCGCACGCTTCCTCGCTTTAAGCGAGAAGCTGCACGCTTCACCCTGCTGAAGCGACTCAGGTGTAGAAAAGCGACCGCTTCCCACTAAAAAGCGAGAAGCGGGAAAGCGATGCGATGCGAAGAAGCGACCGCTTCTGTGTTTTAAAACAGATCCAGCCCTATTTTATTAAAAACGAGGTCTGGTCCTTCATTAAACGAACAAATGCAATGAGACTAGGGTTTTAAAGACACTGGTCCACTTCTTCTTCTTCATCGACTGAAAGCATCAACTTCAAGTTCAAACAATAGGTATGTTCTAATTTTTCTCCTCCTTCTTCTTCTCCTTCTTCTTCTTCTTTTTCTTTTTCTTTCACTGTTTAAACGTCCAAAAAGCAGCGAAATGCTGGTGAAATATTTTTTTTTACCTTCGGTTCTTTCTCAGAATCGATGCCAATTTTTAACAGTGAAAGAAAAAATTGCCCAGTTTACTGTCCATTTTTTTTTTTCTCCTCTGCCCAGTTTTTTTTTTTTTTCCTCTAATTTTTATATCCTTTATTGTTAGTTCTTATTGTCATTCTTATGTGCTATGTAGTTGTTCTTTTAATGGCGAAGAAGTTGAAGAAGTTGACGAGCAATATAATAATGATAATGGAATACAAGAATTTGACAATCTTGTAGAAGAATAGGATGCTCATTTTGTGCTTTAATTGATGCTACTATTTAGTTTTCACATTGAAGTATTGAACATTTGCTTACAATTACATGTGTTGTCTATGCAGTATTTATTTTAATTTTTTTTTTAAAATTCCGCTTCACTTCAAAAAAGTGAGCGTTTCGCTTCTCGCTTTAAGTGAAATGGGGGTTGTCGCTTTTTCTCGCTTCACGCTCTTCACAACACTGAAATCAAGGGATAAACACAATTGTGACCCGCAATGTTTATCAATAAAATACTTTTTTTCTTTATAGTTGTTTGTGATTGTAGTTTTATTTTTCTGCATAAAATTTATTGCAAACAAATTGGCACGCCCAGTGGGACCAGCTCTACCCTTCATCTCTTCCTCCTGCAAATCGAAAACTACAAGTTTCAAAATTATCTATTGTGATGGTCGGGTACTTCAAGTTTCAGCAAGCCTATACCTCGACAAACCTTGAAGTAGGGGGGCATTTATAAACACTGAAATTTTAACAGATCAAGATAAACTTAAATTTAAGACACTACAAGACGACTCTTGAAATATTAAGAGTCTTTTAGGGTTACTTGGTGGCTACTCCACCCAAACCCTAATTCATGCCTATAAATAAGGCTACATATGTACTTCAAAGACGATCTCGGCAATTCCATAAACTCCCGAAATATACATAAAGAGATCAAATATACGATCTCCGAAATTTCAGTAAAATCATAGAATATTCATTAAGAGATCAAATGCATGTCAAATATGTCTTGCTTAAAGTTCTAGCAACATTCAAGATCCAAATGGAGTGTTGCTACATGCTTCTTGATCATCAAATACATCAAGGAGATGCATATCATGCATCATACGTTCGAGATATATGCCGCTTAAGCCCTCGAATTACGGATAACAAATCGGAGAGAAGAATCAAGGGATAAACACAATTGTGACCCGCAATGTTTATCAATAAAATCCTTTTTTTCTTTATAGTTGTTTGTGATCGCAGTTTTATTTTTCTGCATAAAATTTATTGCAAGCAAATTGGCACGCCCAGTGGGACCAGCTCTACCCTTCATCTCTTCCTCCTGCAAATCGAAAACTACAAGTTTCAAAATTATCTATTGTGATGGTCGGGTACTTCAAGTTTCAGCAAGCCTACACCTCGACAAACCTTGAAGTAGGGGGCATTTGTAAACACTGAAATTTTAACAGATCAAGATAAACTTAAATTTAAGACACTACAAGACGACTCTTGAAATATTAGGAGTCTATTAGGGTTACTTGGTGGCTACTCCACCCAAACCCTAATTCATACCTATAAATAAGGCTACATATGTACGTCAAAGACGATCTCGGCAATTCCATAAACTCCCGAAATATGCATAAAGAGATCAAATATACGATCTCCGAAATTTCAGTAAAATCATAGAATATTCATTAAGAGATCAAATGCATGTCAAATATGTCTTGCTTAAAGTTCTAGCAACATTCAAGATCCAAATGGAGTGTTGCTACATGCTTCTTGATCATCAAATACATCAAGGAGATGCATATCATGCATCATACGTTCGAGATATATGCCGCTTAAGCCCTCGAATTACGGATAACAAATCGGAGAGAAGAATCAAGGGATAAACACAATTGTGACCCGCAATGTTTATCAATAAAATCCTTTTTTTCTTTATAGTTGTTTGTGATCGCAGTTTTATTTTTCTGCATAAAATTTATTGCAAACACACCAATCAATTATACTTTTCATTAGAAAATCCTTTTTAGACAATATGGAGGACTAAAATGATTTGGAGATATATATCGCCCCTATAGAACAAAGTATACTACACAACCAAAAGAAAAAGTGAAACTCCACAAATCTTGGGAACAATTAACATTTTTCCGGAAGTTTTATAATTTTATTCTAGTTTAGGGAAAAGAAACTTTTAGGATTTTTGGAACTAACTCATCACACTTTAAGCAAATAAACATTAGGAAGTAGAGGTGGACTTTCTAAATTTTAGCATGTATATACTTCTTTAATGTCATGTGCTAATATTATATTTATAGCATGATAGTTTTTTGTTGAAAAGTCAACAATTTCATTGAGGACACACCAATCAGTATATAATGTGAGTTCACATGACACCTCCAAAAGATTCATCCAATGATCTAAAAACTATAGGATATCTTGTTGTCCCACAAAATAATGAAAGAAAAAGCTCTTAATTCTCTACGACAAACTTTTAACCGCTTCAAAAAGTTTTCTATTTCTTTTTTCTATAAATCAGCTAGAAGGTGCATCTAGGCAAATTTCCATAACTCTATCTTCCTAGCATCTCGTTTTCTCAATGTCTGACCAGGCAGTGCTTCCTCCACAGTCATATCCTTATATGTAACATCCATTCCACATCAAACATGGAATAAATTAGAGATCATATTTCTACTAGAAGCAGCAGATGGTCCACATCCTTATCCAAAAACAAACCCAATTAACTACTATCCGCTCCTCATCAAATTGTCTATTATGAGTATAGTGTTCCTATCTATACACCAAGTAAAGAAAGCCACTTTCTTTTTCTTAGGAGAATTCATCTTCCATATAGATCTTCATATGAGCCTTGAGTCATTGTTGTTATTTAGATGAACAAAATATGATTCCCTTGAAACTCTTCATAGACAATCCCCTTCATAACACAATCTTCTTCTCCAAATTTTTTGTAATTGTAGATCATTCACCATATTCATCACATCATCCAATTCCTACTCTTGAATGGATCTTCTATACATGTCCAAAGACACTTGGCTTCTATCTCTTTTAAGGACATCAACTATTTATCTTTTCAAAAACAAACGAGAACATCAACCATAGTAGCATCCTTATTTGTTCTGGTCATAAATATAAATGTATGAACTCATCTTTCATAGTTGAAATCCCATTCGCACCGTCTAAGTAGCATCGATTAGATTTTCCATTCTCAGAGTGTAATGCCAATGTATCTTGAGAACTCATTCCATTCCTTCATAGTTCCAAACTTCCAATACATAAGCTAGTCTTGTACGAGGTTATTGCTCTCCAGGAAGCATCCATGTTTTACTAGTATCACCTTAACCTTCCTAATAGCTCCTCACAAACAAATCTTAATAACAATTTCTTTAATGAAGATATACAAAAGGTGCTTAAAGTGTTGCAATCAAGCATGTTGCAACACTTTCCAGAAAACACTTGCCGAAAAATATAAAGAATACATTTTTAATCACATTTAATAACGCCTAACTTGCAATTACAAAATCTTCATCAAAATACCATCATGGACTTACTTTTTAAAATTAAATTACACGAAAGGCTGATTTTGTGGTCGAGGAATCAGCTCACTAGTCACTATAATCTTTCCTCAACACAGTCCAATTGGCAAACTCTTTTAAGTTATGCATTAGTGTTCCAGCATAACTGAGCAGTTCATAACCAGTATCGGAATTAAAAGAAAATTCAGATTACGCCATTGACCCACATGATCTGAATCTTGTAAATCACACATTAAACAACATAAAAAAGGTTAAATGATACCAAATACAAATTTCCTCTATATCCCTTTTGCTCTATCAATGATTTACCTTTTAAGACAAATTACCAATACTTAGAAGAGGGGGAAAAAAAGGACAAATGATTATGGCTTACAGTCTCAGATCGTTTGAGAAGTGGGCCCTGTAGTAAATTCCGGCCAGAACCAGAAGCCAATTGCCGTTTGATCTTCTCTAAACTTGTCTTTGTATCTGCATCTCCCTTTTATGAAAAACCCCATTTTAGGAAAGTGATTTGTATGGGTATTAAATTAGGGTATACGAAAAATTGGGCACTTACCAGAGGAGCTCCATTAGAAGCCATGGGTGGAAGATTGGTAGAGAAATCGCAGTGATTGTTGAGAAAGGGTTTAGTTATTAAGAAGAAAAGGCCGAGCTGGAGCTGGTAGGTTTCATTTGGACCTGTTGGTGAATGTAGTTATTTCGCGACTTCATCCAATAGTATACGTGGTTAAAATATGCTTTTAAAGTTTATATATAAACTGAAAATGTAATGATTTTTATACCATTAGCGGTCATTTGGTTAACGGGAGCCTCATTTGTCTTTTTTAAGATTAACAACTTGAATCTGAATACAAAATTTTTAACATATGAATGTGTAAGATTTATTTTTATTTGAAAATTAATAAATATAAATTTTAAATAAAATATTAATTAATCTAATATTCTATTAATAAAATATATAATTTTTTAAAATATGATAGTTATTGGTGGTGATGGCTAATGGGTGAATGCCGACTAGAGGCGGTGGTTGGTGGTAGTTTTAGTTGATGATGGTGGTTCAGGGTAATAGCTAGTGGTGATTGGTAATGATGGCGATTATGATTGAAGATGGTGGTGGTGGGTGGTGATAGTTAACAATGGCGGGTGGTGATGGTAGTTGTGATTGAGGAAGATGGTGGTGGCGGTGGTGGTAGGTTATAATGATGGGTAGTGCCGGCTCTGGTTGTTGATGTTGATGGGGTAGTTAGTTGAGGTAGTTGAGGTGAATGAGTATTAATTGTGGTTGAGAATGATGGTGGCGGACAGTGGTGGAGATGGTGGATGGTGATAGTCGATAATGGTGGCGGCTATGTAATGATTATGTTGGTGGTGTGGTGGTGGTGGTGGCGGTATGGTGGTAGTTGATAATGGTAGGGTAGCGGCAGTTAATAATAAATATGGATGATAGCATCTTAATAAAATTAAGTATCTCTTATAGATCTTAATCATACAGACCTATTCATACCCATTAATTGGTTGTGGAGTAAAAAAAAAATATTTAATGATTAAGATCTGAATAATTAAGATTCAGACTTTAAAAACAAACACACTTAACGTCTGAGATCTGAATAATTAAGATTCAGACCTCCATTAAGTGCAAACAAATGAGGCCACGATACTAATCTCGAAACAAAATATAAGATTATATTTAATTATCTATGCCATATTTGATTATGAGTATAAGTTTTGTACCAAATTATTCATATTAGCAATCCCGCATTGGATGTGGGATAAAGATCACATTATTATAATTTCGAAACTATTGATCCCCGGATATCGAGTTTGGAACCAAACGCCCCTTAGAGTTATTATATCATGTAATTTCTGAATTAAATACATAAGAACTTCTTATTTGTAATTTTAATTTGCCTTTTAGTAATTTTAGTTAAAATATATCTCACATTCTCAAAACGGTATCCTTTGTCCCAATTTGTATCGTATATTTTTTCTTTTAGTTCGTCCCAAAAAGAATATCATATTTCTATATTTAGAAAAAATTTAACTTTAAAATTCTTCTTTTACTTTTAATGAGATAATTTACAGTCATACAAACATCTAAGATTTATTTTAGACTACAAGTTCTAAATTTTTTTTATCATTGCCCGGTCAAATAATGTCACATAAATTGGGACGGGGGAGTAAAAATATAACACCCTAGTAAAATAAAAATATTATTCAAGCTAATATTTGTGTAGGATTCTCATGGTATATAGGGTGTAACTGATTTTGAAATACATGGGATATATTTGCAATTGAGTTATATATAGATGTTTAGTATAATGTATCCTTTATTCTATTGATGGTATGCTAGAAATAGGGGCTTTTGGTTGATTTAGCTTTTAATTACTACACTTTAATTGTGTTTGAATTAAAATATGAGTATTTTATAAGTTTATGTATTTTATTATGTAAGACTGATTCCGAGCAAAAAAATAATTTTGGAGCTAGAACGGATAATTTTGAGCTTCCAAGTTTGAGCAGAAGTCTAAAAAATTCGATCGAGATGAGTTTGAGGTTCAATGACCAAGTTCCCATGGGAAAATTGAAGAAAAAAAAGCTTAAGGTTGAAAATTGGCCTATCGTGATGCGGTAAGGCAACTAGGCAGCAAAAGTTAAAACCAAGTTCTCTAAAAATTTGGCTTACCACGAGGCGGAGCCCGTAGCGGCATGCTAATTTCGGGCCTAAATTCCGATTTCACCTCATCAAGGATAGTTTTTTCTAGGTTATTTCTACACAGTATAAATACATGAGAAATACTATTTTAAAAGAACTTTTGACCTACAGAGCATTGGGAGAACCAAAAAGGGTTGAAAACACATTCATCGATTCGATTTAATACATAAGTTTGGGTTGGAAGTTGGTTGTCTTATTTTCATACCTTTATGACAATGTATTTTTATCCATCTAGGGAATAGTTCATTCGAGTTTTTGATACACATGGTATTTTAAGCATCATTTGAGGATTTAACTTATGTTTATTTATATAATGACCCAATCGGTTATTTTGAGTCCTAACATCCTATTCTTTGATTTGAGACTTCCTATAGGTTTATCTTGTGATTTATGACTAACGGTGTAATGATCCGGCCGATCATTTCGTGTATTTGAGCCTCAGTTCCCTATTTGATGCTTCCTATATATTTGTTTGTTATTTGGTGATTTACAGGGGTGGTTGGTTGAGTTTCGGTAAGGCCTGTGAGTGAATTGAAATATTTAGTTCCAATATTGGAAGCTTAAGTTGTAGTTGACCAAGGTTTGACTTTTGTATAAACGATCTCGGATTGGTGATTTGATGGCTCCAATAGGTTTGTATGGTGATTTTGAACTTAGGCGTATGCCCAGATTTAGATTTGGAGGTTCCTAGGATATTTTGGCTCTATTTGCTGAAAGTTAGCAATTTGAAGATTTGGAGAGTTCATTGGTTCGATCGGGAATTGACGTTAATGATATCGGATTCAGATTGTTGTTCTGGAACTTGGAATATGTTCATTATGTCATTTGGGACTTGTGTGCAAAGTTTGGTGGTGATTCAAAGTGGTTAGGCATGAATCAGACGCGTTGTTGGAAGTTTATAAGCTTATGAGCTTAAGAGAAGTTCAATTTATGGTTTGATCGTTGATTGGTGGATGTGATGATCCTGTATATGTTTGGACGCTATGGATAGGTCCGGAAGTATTTGAGGACTTGTCGGTATGATTGGACGAGGTCTCTAGTGGCTCGGCTGAGTTTTGTACCACCCGAAGTGTCACGCCCCAAAAACCGAGGAGCGCGACCGGCGCTCAACCGAGTGAACCCGACCGAGCAAGCCTATTAGATTCCTTCTACCCAAACTCATTCATGAATAAAGAGAATATATATTTTCCTTAATTAAATAATTAAGTGGTCATGTCTGCAATTACCAATTTCTTACCAATAGTTTCATCATTTTTTTAAAGTCTCAAATGGACAAGTAATACAACCACAACATAACATAATTTGTCTTTTCCCAACACCAATACACAACCCACACTATGTCTACGGAGCCTCTATAGATAAAGATGAATACAATGATAATGCCGGCAACAAGGCCCTGGCTATACCTCAAACGGAATACACAAAGAACAAAAGATACATGACCCCGGGATGAAGTGGGGCTCACCAAGTCAGCTGGGAAGAAGGTGTACTGCTATCACTGATCAATATCTCCTACTGTGAAACCACCTGCATCCATTTAAAGATGCAGCGCCCCCGGCAAAAGGGACGTTAGTACCGTCGAATAGTACTAGTATGAAAAC